TCTACGTTAATCTTTAAGACATAAGAAAGATATATATTTTTGAANTGATTACTATATAGAATTAAAATACTCATCAATACAAAACGAACGAGCCCAAACTCGATGCATTTAAGTCGTTTTATTATAGAGTTCCTATGGCCACCTTCCAGCTCCATCATCAGATCAGCTCCATGTCATCATAATATTGCATGGTCATCCAAATCACATGTGTTTGCAAAATTTCAGCTTAATCGGTTGCCTGGAAGTGGGTCTTAATTCAGCTTGCAAGATTCCACCCATACAAATATGAGCCAGTCACTGTAATATGACGTCACGCGCATAAAATGGCGGGCCGGCCGCCGCCCGCACTTTTAAAATTAAATATCTTGGAAACTAATTGACGTATCGAAATAATTCTTTCACGTGTATTTTTTATTTTTAACAGAGAATACAGAAAGCTAAAAAACAAAATTAGTGAACATTCTTCATTATAATAGACGAAATATGTGATAAAGCTGTTAACAAATTTTCGCTCAAAAGTGTTTTTAACTTTTTACACACGACGTGTATTACTATTTTGGACTAGGTACATAAAGGAAGAGAAGGGTTCCTGCATTTTAGCAACAGGTTCCAAAATGAAATAAAACACAAAGAACGCTCAATAAAAATATATTGCTAATAATATCAGATCAAACCAGTTCTTGGAACCAAAGGATAATAATTCTAATATAATACCTACGCATAGAAATTACCAGACATTATATTATAGAATTAGGATTTTTTTTCTATTACAAAAATGTTTGATTTAGGGCTTAAACACACTAGCGCTATCCGTGAAACTTTTAAGGTTAGTGCTCGCTTATGAACTCGACCCCTGAATGCCCCTGATGACGTCTTATCTGACCTTTCTCAAAATGACAAATTTCTTCAATCATGGATATTGAAACAAGAGAGATCGAGTTCGAGTCCACACTAAACGCTAGTTAGGTAATTGAAATGCTAGACATGGTAGGTCCCTGTTAACGTGACATATTTGCATAGAGTTATTAACCTCTATGCATATTTGCAATGAATGTAAGTACTGAAAAATCATCATAATTATCTACCTACATAATATTTTTTTTAAATTGCTTGATACAGATTACTGATTACAGACAACCAGACCCCAAATAATCAAACGTGTAACATTACAAACTAATTAAGTACAATGAAAAATACAACATAACACCAATAATGATACAACTATTTTTTCTGTATTTTTGGGCAATACTAAATATTTTTTTTAAATACTTTTTTCTTACTCTAATAGCTGCTATTGGCTCACTGCGTAATTAATTTGATAGTTTTAAATAATTATTTTAAGATTAAATGTCACTGAGTTTCCTTAAATGTGCTCACCAGTGGGCGCCACTAGCGAGTGATAGTACCTTACTCGAAAGTGGCGCCATCTTGATGAATGCAAATGCGTAGTCCTACCGCTTCAGCGGTCACCAGTAGCCTTATTCACGTAACAAAACTTCAACGACAACAAAACACTGAGTTGCGATCCTATCGTGTAATCGTTCTATCAAAAATAACCCTTGTGAATACGGATTTAGAACTGTTTTTCAATGGGACGACTTCTGAACGTCAGCGAGATCTTGACTGTCAAAATACATGAATTAGGCCATAGTTGGCGCCATTAGAATAGCCACTTAGCAAGTGACAGGACCTTACGAGCCGGCGGCGCCAACTGGTATACACAATCAAAGAAACCCAAACACATCAGTTTAGACAGCATTGATGTCGATTTTATTAAGGAACATACTAATTTAATACAATGAGCAATAATTTTCATATCTTACATTTTAGTAAGCTTTACATCTTTGTACATCATTGTAAGCTTTAAGCATTATCCATTATGGTACATTCTACAAAAATAAGTATCATTGCCATTTTTTTTAAGAACATTTTGTACTACATAATATTATGTCACACTTTAGTGGATGGACAACAAACAACAAGTCATCAAAAGTCGTACTAGTTACAACTCTTGACAACAAAACTTTACCAATTAAAAAATATGGTGAAAGTGGCGTCAAGCAATAAAGGACCTTATAGCATAACGTTCATATTTCGTCGACTTCTAGCTAAGTTATAATTTCTGCGTTCACATAATCGACTCTTCCTGAAATATGCACCGTGTGCCCATCGCATAAAATCGTTATTTGACTGTTTTTTTTAATTTTTAGAACAAAAACGTTGAGTCGCTTTTTTGAGCGTATGCGCATTAAGTAACTATTCATATGTCCACTTTTTGACTTTAGAATAAAACAGGATTCTGTATCTGTCAGTTTGAACTGACAATTTTTCAAAAAAACATGTTTTATAGTTCCAAAATACTGGACTGTCCTGTCGATGACATTGACAGTGGGGCGCCACCGTCAATACCGGATCGCTGGTTCAGATTTTTGCCATGTTGGAAACCATATAGTTGAACGATGGTAGCGCCCCCCTGTCATTGAGTTTGGTGGGACAGTTCAGCGTGGGTCATCTATATGCCAAAGTTAGCTGGTTCATATAGAAAGAATAATTAAAATAATAGAGGTATACTTAAAATATCACCCACAAAATCCCTTAAAATTACCGCAGTTAAGAATATTCTTATTTTACACATGTACTTACAATTAAATAGATTATAATTTATGAATAAAATCTATAACATAAAATGCTGAGAGCAAAAAACTTAATATTGTACTTGCCAGCAAAAAGCTATTTCTAATAAATAAATAAGTACTTTTTAAATACATTATTATGTCAAGGAACATTATATTGGACAAATGTCATAATTACCATGATAATAAATATAATACATACATAATTAATTATATCAAATTCTATGTGTGCTGTACTTTCTACAAGTGACCTAAACCAGTGGTATTTTAATGGAAGAATAAATTAATAGGGTACCATTGATACCAACAATCAATGACAGTTTTCACCATCAATCCCTAATTTTTAAGTGACCCCTTTGAAAACAAAATTCCTGTTATGTGTAACCAAAGGGGTCACTTAAAGGAGGGGTATTAGGGATTGATGGTTAAAACGGGCATTAGAATATTCTTTTTGAGAAGTTATGTCTTAGAATAAATTGATATAATAGTGTTAAGTAGGTACCCAATAAAAATTAACAAACTACTACATACTAATAACACATAAATATCACAAACTGTACGAAAATAATCGGTAACATTAGCAATGGAAGCAAAAAAGGTACGTTTATACTGTCGTTTGTTCTTAGACTATAAAAAACTATAAAACTAACTCAGACTAAACAAATGTTTTCAATCTAAACTGTATGTCATGCGAATGCTTTGAGTGTAGAAAAGAATCACCTTTATTTTAAAACATTGTCGGGTTTATTTATAAAACTTATTTAAAAAACAATGCATCAATAAATGAAAGGACATAGAGAAAATTTAAGCGATTTGACAATATTTTTTCTAAGAAGGTACGAATATAATTGACTTCATTAATTTCCTCATTTTTATACCTCAATCTTTTTTCATTTTATCTCTCACTATAACAATGAGCAAAATTAAAAATCAATCGATTTTAAATATTTAGAGTAGGCGCACACCGTTGATTTTGTTTAGTCGGGCAGTTGATCAGTATGGGCATGAATGGGAGTGCGCACACTACGCCGATTCGATTTGGCCGATTCTTCATACAATTTAAAATCGGGCACAACTATCGGCCAACTAAAAATCAACGGTGTGCGCCTACTCTTAGCTAACCAACACAGGGACGTATTTATTTATTTATATTCACAGCAAATGTGTACAATTGGCCGACTTATTTCTAAAAGCATTCACTACCAGAGAGACACGAACAGTAAAGTACATTATATCTAAAACAGGATTAATACGTAAAATATACATACATAACAGACAAATAAATAAACAATAAAATAATAAAAAACATACACGCAATAATACTTAAAGAGGCAAAGTAATAAATATAGTGTTCTTATGATAGAAGGCGCTACTTTGATAAATAAATAATACGTCCCTGTAAATACAATTCTTCTTAAGCTACCTACACTTTAAAAATACAATAAAAGCTTTATATTTCAAGAAAATACACTTTCCAATTTAATATGAACAGTGATCAGCACAGCAACCTACCACAAAAGCACGAAAATCGACAAAGAATTTTGAACCTTCTCCTCATAGAATAAGGTCTAATTTCACATTTTGTGAGAGGTTGATGTGCTGTCGACGTTCGTACATATTACGAAAATATGTGCAATTTTCATATGACAAAATACATGATCAATATTTTTACTAAATTACCAAAGGCAGACTTTATACTGCGCTGGAATGGTGGTATGGACTACGGCACATCTATAGTCTGGTCCGTGAGCACGTGGAATTTTGTCCAATGACCCCAAGCTACCCATCCTTATCGCTCGCGCGTAATTATGTTGCTATCGCGCTCGCACACTCACTGCGGGTGCCAGTCGCACAGTCGCAACAGCAATATAATTACGCGCGAGCGATAAGGATGACTATCTAGCTAGGGGTCATTGGACAAAATTCTACGTGCTCACGGACCGGACTTTAGTTAAGCATTAGAATCTTATTCAGTTCTAATAAGTTTTATTTTACACCAAAAATGTGTAGTTTAATGTACTGTCAACTTACATTACAGTCAGCGTCAAATAGTTCGTTTATTCCAATAGACAATTTGACACCATTCCCCAATAATAATTCTAAATCACAACTTTTCTAAAAAGACATTTCATTCTGGTCTTAAAATATTAATTAATTTTAAATTAGGTACCTATAAATTACGATTTTTGGTCGCTATAATTACATACAATTGAAAAAAGTAGTTCAATTGAGTTGACAAAATAGTGACGTCACTTGCTTGTAGTGGCATACAAATTCTATGGGAGAGTTTCGTTTTGACATTTTTTAAAAGTACGTCAATTGATTGGTGGTGTCAACATGTCTGTTGTAACAAAGACGTATTGCGAACTTATTGGCTACTTTGGATGTCCGAACTATTTGACGCTGACTGTACTAAGAAGTTTTGAATTATTTCTATTTTCGTCTTGTTTTTTGACGCTGCAGTATACAAATACATGTTGAGGAATGTTTTTTATTGATATTTACAATCGAACAATTTTAATAAAAACTATAGGATCAAACGAACGAAATATACAATACAATACAACAATTAACGTATTAACAGCCTAATAACTACGGCAGGTTAAATTTCTAACAATAAAATGCTGAAAATTTGTCATAATAATAACCAACAAAAATCTAAAAGTACCGCACACTATCCGCAAACGGATTTTCCATCTTCTTGCCCGCTTCATTTTATCTTCTTTTCTTAGTTCATTTAACTTTGGATCAATGGAAGTTCAATACTTTACTTGGCTAATACCGGTTTGCACCAACTATTCCTAATTTTTAAGTGACCCCAATGAAAACCAAATTCCTGTTATGTTACCATAGGGGTCACTTAAAAATTAGGGATTGTTGGTGAAAACGGGCATAATTCTTCCTAAAATAAGGCCTATTACTTGATACCGGCGATTAGTGTGCGAAACTCCAAACCAATCCCATACCACCTTAATCAATATCCAGATTCTTGAAAGCCTTTTCCATGGCCTTATCCCGCTTCTTATCCGGGAGGGCCAGGATCCTCTGCTCCTCCTCCTCCCTGAAGTAAGGCTCCATGGCTTGTAAGAACTGCATGCACTTCTTATGCAAGGTCTGGGTGTCAGGGAGAGTGCCGCCATGGTCTTGGGGGACGACAGAGCGAGGGATGACGGTCTCGAAAAATGATTCGAGGTCCTCATCTTTGTGGTGGAAGTTTAGCTGGAAATGTTGAATGTTGTGTTAGGATTAAGAGTTTAAAACATTCATAGATAGTATAGATGGTTTCATCAACGAAGACGCGCCCCACCATTCTTCCGCTAATGTTTGAGTGTTATCGGTACACGCTAAATTATCCATGAGTGCACACGCACACTACAATAATGACGCTCGGATACTGAAATATTGTGAAGGCTAAAAAAATTGTTTACTGCCTCTGCAATAGTTGACGTGACACAAGTTATTTCAAATATTCCGACTCAATTAGAGGAAAACAAATATACTTACATTACATAGGCTTAGATACTTTACTGTAAGTGCTAAAGACAAATATCTGTGCCATTGACAATGGTTGCTAACTGGTCGACCTTAAAGGCATCGCAAACACGACATGGGGCATCTACCTTAGTTTAAAATTACTAGAAACCATATTCAAAGCAGTTTATACCTAAATACAGTCTTTAAAAGTTAGATAAACATAGAAAGAAACGGTCACGGGACTATTCCCACTCTCGTTCCCACCGCTGCAACTCCTGTGTAGCCAGGATCTACAGCTTGACCGCCAATAAAAACCGACCAGTGAAGGTCAAGTTTGTCCCGGGGGAAAGTTAAAGAAACATTCAATTTTGAATAAGAGATGTATTTTAGTATTTTAGAGGACTTTGACCGCACGGAAACAAATTATGTAAGAAGTGATTTCTACTACTTCCGACTTTGCATATTGTTTTAAAATATATTCGAAAGTTCCTACCACCAAGGTAATACATACAGACTAGCCATCAGTATTAACGTTGCTCTAGAAAAAACTAGGACTTCGCTGATTGGGTTTTTATTGTAGTAATCCTGGTAGAATCAGACCGCAAACTGCCTGGATGACAAGTATCCAACCAAGGAGAGATGGTATGTGGGAGTTGAGTCAGTGGATAACTGACGATGCTTACCATGGAAATTAATGGCGCCGTATGATAAGGAAAGCCAACCCCGTGTATAAACCGTTTCATCCACGAAGACGCGCCCCACCATTCTTTCGCTAATGTTTGAGTGTTATCGGAACATGCTAAATATCCATGAGTGCACACGCACACTACAATAATGACGCGATCAAATTCCCCGCACCCCGCGCTTCCCTCGACCGAAAATTGGTGGGGCGCGTCTTCGTGGATGAAACGATCTATAAGGGGAACGAGTGGGGCAAAGAAGAAACTGTAGGTCCTAGCTACACAGAAGTTGCAGGAGGTGGGAATTGTCCTGGAGCCAGAGCGCGAGGATGATCCAAACGCGCCCTCGCTTCGGCGACGGCGGAGGGGTCAGAGGAGGCGACAATATGATCGCCTCCAGTTTCCTCTCCTCGGTGATGGCCAGCGGGCCGGGGGCGCCCCCGCCTGCATTGCACAGGCCACCACCACCGTCGGACGGGAACAGCTTTGTGCTTCCAGCTGCTCCTGTCGCCCCCCGTCCTGGGGGGCTTGTAGGGCCCGCCGTGTAGGCGGACAATCGCCAGGAGGGGCTGTGGTAGAGAAGGCGTTGTCCGGAAACCCACAGTTTCCTCCCACTTATGGCGAGTGACGGAGCACCGGGGTCTTTTTAGTGGGTATGCCTCGTCCTTCTGACTTGGTGAGCTCCACATAACCTACCCTGTCCCCGCAGGGTAGGTATGCGATTCAACGCATTTTTTCCCCGTTAAAAAAAAAGATGGTAATTGTCCTGTAACCCCTTCAAGTTATATCTCCGCCATGAAAACTCACCATATCATAGAACTTCTTCTCCATAAACGGCTTGATGATGAGCAGCAGCTTGTCCAGCACCGGCTCGGTGTTCAGGATATGGATAGCACGCATGCGCACTGGCAGCGCCTCTTGCAGGTACACGAAGAATTTGCGGAAGCCCCTGTAAATACAGATATATTTATTTTAGGTTATGGCATAGCCAGAATCTCAAAAATGAAATGGTAGTGAGCGGGACACATAGCTAGTAAAAAAAAGGTCATAGGGCAGAAATGTCCTCGAGTGGTTTCCGATCTACTTGATGGGCGGGCAAAATAGTAAAGATTGCGGGAAGCACCTGGATGCAGGCAACGCAGGACCGGTAGTAGTGGAAATTCTTGGGGGAAACCTTTGTCCAACATTGGACGTCTTTTAGTTGAATGGAAGGTAACGAAAGTGGTTATTAACTAAAAATATTGGTTAGGGTTTTTATAGGTAGATAAGTTGTATTTCCTGGCTGCAGAGTTGCAGCAGTGAGAACGAGAGGTGGGAAAGGTTGTGTTACAAATATTGGCATAAAACAGTGTAAAAAACTGAAAAAAAATCTGGAGCTGTGTGGAGAAAATTAGTTAGGTAGGTATACCTACCATTTTTTGTCCATCTTCCATTTATATTTTTGGGGGACTAATGATTGTGTGTGATTTAAATATTGACGACTTTATTTTTGTCCGAAAAACAAACTAAATATTGAGATGAAGGTGACTGAGTTTCTTCCACCACTTCCTCTCAGCAACAGCCCATACGTTATCCCGAAGTGGTGGTAGGGCAAGCTCTCAGATCATAGTGATGTGAGGGCAAGCTATACGTATTTGGGACGTGTATAAGTGCCCTGGAAAGGGCCTATGTACTGTATAAACTATGCTCCGTCCGATGAATCCCATGGCTGATCCCTATGGCGATTCGGCGATGAACATGACAATTTAAAAACCGTGTTTCGCTAGCAATCTCTCAGCAATGACCATTAATTTATTAATACGTAGTTTTTGCATAACGAGCTAAAGTCCAATGCAGTTAATTTGCGGATTACGTAACAGACATCAGATTGCGGTCATCAACTAGAGGAAACTCATAACAACAATGTTGTGCCACTTCATTATGCTTTACGTAAGTTTATTGCATACTATTTAGCTCCTGCCCGTGACTGTCCGCGTGGACTTCTTCTTTCTACTGTTTGTCGTTTTTTAAAGAATATTAGTAATAACCCCTCGTGGTAAGCTAAATGTGATTGTGTTAGGCACTTTAAACCAGGGATGTTATGGATATCCGTAACCGTAACCGAAACTTTCGGATATCCGAAATAATAAAATACTTTCGGATATTTTGATAGTGAGATTTCATCCTTATACTTAACCCCAACGATCGATTCAATAAAAATACAAGGTGTAATTTTTAACAGATTTTAGTTGGTTCAATTCCTGGGTATGGCAAGCAAATTTTTGAAAATCTTTGAATGCAGTTATATTTTCTTTCAAAAATAAAGGAATGTTTACTTTGAGTAAAATTTTCTATCTACAGTATTAACAGTACTTTCCCTCCAGATGGCATTACAAAATTCCACCCTGTATAAGTCTGTACTTTGTGGGGGGTCACTGTACAGGTCCAGTGTTTTTCAATGTATTTAATGCGAAAAGTTCTTCACCGGTTGGGGCTATAGGGACCAGCAAAAAGTTTGAAAAGAAACAAGCAAGAGCTTCTCACTGAAATTGAAATTGTATTTTATTGTAGTGTAGAAACTTTCCTTTTTCCATTTACCGGTAACTCTCCGAAAGGCTTCGCGATCCCAATAAGATTTCGTGACCCACCAGATTGAAAACGTATTTAAACTAGGTATTCCTTACTCACTTATGCTATCTCTGGAGTCTGGAATAATTTTATAACTATATCATTAATCTAAGACTATATCCTAATGAGGGTTTTCGCAAATGAAAGATCCGCTAGATGGCGGGACGTGGATGTGGGGTCTGACTGCTGCGTGATTAGTGGATTTTGACATATCTGTCAATGTCATGTCAAAAATAACCAATCATGCAGCATTTGGACCTCGCGTCTACGTATTGCCATCTGGCGGATTTTTCATTCGCGAAAACCCTCATTGGGTAACAGCATTTATGTAATTCAAAAGTTAAAGTTGAAACATGGCAATTTTTTCTTATTTACAATACGATAATTATGTTATTGTTTATGGAGTAAAATTGACTAGAGACTAGACTAAGGTAAACGGCTACTAGTTCGTGATAGTACGTAAGTTCGTAAGTTTTTTTTCTAGCTCAAATAATAAGCAAATGGAATATTATTTATAAAAATTCTTCATTACTACAAAAACTCTATTATTTAAGGGGGTCCTGCACAGAATCCTTAAAATTGTCATATTTTTAAATCACGAGTGCTCTGCGATTAGTGACTTAAATACATCAAAGTAACTTGTGTAGGGTAGCCCAATCCTTGATCTAGGTCGCCGCCTTTTCGAAATTTTGAATAAATACGTAAAAAATTGATAAACAACATTTAAAATGCAGACATATGGAAAATTTATTTCTTCGAGAACTTTGTTAATTTAACGTATGAAGCAATATTTTTTATATGGAAATGTTTAAATTAATATTTTGAAGGTCGCCCCCTTTTTCGTTTTTGGTATTAATGCATTAATATTGAGAATTTTTGATTTTCCCAAAAAAACTTTGCCGTGAAGAAATCATCAGGCGTTTTGCTTTATCGTAGCTGTCAAGTGTCAAATGTGTGTTTGTCAATCCTTTACAGAGTAGTGTAGAGCGCAGAGCATGCAAATAGTATCTCTTTTGTTATGACTTCGATTGTTACGAAAAAATATTTTACTTATTTTATAGTTAATATGGCTAGAAAACCCTTGCAACCTTTCTTTGCCGTTCGTTCGTTTCAGCCGAAAGACGTCCACTGCTGGACAAAGGCCTCCCCCAAGGATTTCCACAAAGACCGGTACCACGCCGCTCGCATCCAGGTACCACCCGCGACCTTCACCAGATCGTCGGTCCACTTAGTAAGAGGCCTGCCCACGCTACGTCTTCCGGCTCGTGGTCGCCGCTCAAGAACATTCCTGCGCCAGCGGCCATCAGCTGTACGAGCTATGTGCCACGCCCGCTTTGGTTCTCCTACGGATCTCCTCATTTCTCCTCAAACGATCATAGCAAATGTTGTGATAGGGATAGAGACATGCGATTTTTGGTTTTACAAAGGTAATACGATAGAAAAGACTGGCTCATATTTGTATGGGTGGAATCTTGCAAACTGAATTAAGACCCACTTCCAGGCAACCGATTAAGCTGAAATTTCGCAAACACATGTGATTTGGATGACCATGCAATATTATGATGACATGGAGCTGATCTGATGATGGAGCTGGAAGGTGGCCATAGGAACTCTATAATAAAACGACTTAAATGCATCGAGTTTGGGCTCGTTCGTTTTGTATTGATGAGTATTTTAATTCTATATAGTAATCGGGGTCTAATGATGGAGCTGGAAGGTAATTCGCAATAAAACGACACAATCGCATCAAGTTTGGGTTTGGTTCAATTTTAATTTCTGTGATGGGTCTGGGTGTTAATATGTATAATAAGTTTGTATTTACAAAAAAAAATTATTTAAGTATGTTTATATCCGTTTTCTAGTGAGCGGAGTGTCATGCCCTGAGTGCCCAAGCAACTGCACTCAGGAGGATTTGATGAGTGCTACTGACAACGCCACTCTTGTGGCGGAGTTTTGGGCTGACACTGTGTAGGTTTGTTGTCGACACGAAAAGAAGAAGTGAGCGGACGCTGTGAATGTACGTCACACGGGGTCACGTGACCGTCGGCGGGACTCAATATTTAAGCGAACTTTGAATGCCTATAAAATCATAACTACTGGGTATTTTTGAATGAAATAAAAACTAATTAGTCTAAGATCCCGCTATACAACGACCTTCACCGAGATGCTTATTTGATGAAACATATTTTATATACAATTTAACATGTCAATAATTATATTGCTTAAGGGTTGCCTAATAAATTTCAGTCCAGGATATGATTAATTAATCATTAAAAAAAGATTATTTTTTTTTAAATATTTCATCGGTTTGACTATTAAACAAACTCCATACCAATCGAAAGTATGAAGCCCATAGAATATGCAAACGTTAGGTTGCCTATTCTTTTCCAGTCATAACTCTCGGGTTGCCAGGTATAAACAGGTAAATTGATAGAGCATTTTGCATCGGTCTGATAATTTAATCAAATTTATGAACACGGTGGTATAGGGTTGCCTGCGAAAAATCAGTCCTGAATGACGGTTGTCGAATTTTGTAAAGTGAAATTAAAACTGAAAGGTGACATTTTTCGAGTAGTTGGCAACATTTGGGAAAGACGAGTTGTATGAGGCGTTTGTGTGTCTTGTCAAGAGGTGTCGCTTGGGTGAAGAAATTTCTCCAGTGTTGCCATGCTTTCGGAGATTTGGTCCAAAAATGTCGAAAGTGGAAATAACGACTTCCGGTCAAAAATTTGGATGACGCCTCCTGCAAAAGGGTCGTACAAATGACATTTGACCATTTTCATCTCGATCACCTGGCAACACTTGCAGCTATGGGGAAAAGTATTTTTTTTCGACATGGGTGTCTTTAAAGTTAAGGACGGACAGAAGGAGATATGGCAGAAAAAATCCAAAAATGGGGTTTGGTCGGTTATACGACCCAAATTATGGGAAAAATCCGAAAATTCAGAAAATCAAGATGGCGACCGAGTGAGCGGCCATTTTGTAAAAAGTTTCAGATTTCTGATTTTTCAAATGCATTTTTTGGGCAGTTGGCAACATTTGGGAAACTCGAGTTGTATAGAGCGATTACGTAGTTTGCTAAGGAGTATCGTTTGGAAAAACAACATTTTCCAGTGTTGCCATACTTTGAAAGATTTGGTCAAAACATGTAAAAAATGGAAAAAACGACTTTTGGTCCAAAATTTGGATGACGCCTCCTGCAAATAGGTCAAACTAATGACATTTGACTATTTTTATCTCGATTACCTGGCAACACTGGCAGTTACGGGGCCACAAAATTTTGGGACTTGGGTGGTTTTAAGGAATTGTTTCACGGGATTGGTTTAAGTTAGAAAAAAATTA